CCCCCCCCCCCCCTCGACATTAACATATTCCGGCCGATTCAGGGCAAACATCGACGCAGCGGCGCCACTCGTTCACCCCTTACTTCCGGCACATTTGTGTTTTGTTTCCAGCGAACGCACCCCGCGAACGCGCGTCGCCGTTTTCGCGAACAGTTGGCCGCGTTTCTCGCGAAAAACGCGTTGGCAAGGCGCGTGCTAGGGGTGGTTTTGTCGTTAGGGATGTTTGTTGCGCGTCGACGAAAGTCGTACAAGAGTATTCCTAGCTTTTTTTCTGAGCATTTCTCCTCGTCGGAGAATTTAGTTTGGTTGTGTGCTAATTTTTGGTGATTGTTCTTCTTATTTCAAGGTAAATATGTTTTTTAGTGAGAATGTGTTTTGCAGAGGTATATTATCATATACTTTAAAGTGAGTTTGTAGTTTTATATACTCATTTAATTGCGAATCATTTTTTATAAACTTCAAGTGAAGTACGTCCATTTTGTACAACATTTTTATATCTTTATTCTTATATTTAAATTCTTGTACTCTTGTATCTACTTGTACTTGTAATTTCTTGTACTAATTTTCTATCTATTGTAAACGAGGTTTCTTGTATTTATAACAATGAAATAGTGTGAAAGCGTGCGAAGAATCGGTGTAAGTAGAATCAGATTTACAGGACAGACAAATCTTTGTTTTCAATAATTCGCTTTACATTCCGAGAATTCTCAGCTTCAGAAAGTTTATTGGATTTCGCTTTTGTCCTTTTTACGTTTTTTATCGTAAATAATAGTACTACATGAGTTTTTTATTATCTTTAGGTTCGAAAGAATTTGCTAGGAAACTGAGATGTGATCTCGTTTTACCGCCTGGCGATAATTCCGTCAACATCCTGTTTTAAGTTTCTACTTTTGTTCCAGGGAAGAGCTTCACCTTGACGATTATGCTACAAACATCGCCACCTCAAATAGCCACTCTGTCGAAGGCGATCAAGGTCACCGTCGATGGACCAAGAGAACCCAGATCAAAGACAAGTAAGTGTTACAGGGTTTTACCAGCAGTAGGTAACTCAGCTTTTAAACTTGAACAGACACAATAGATGTTTAATCATCTGCTTATATTTTTGAAAATTTGGAGTGGATTATTACGAAGTAGAATTTTAAAGAAGCTAATTCTTTGAAAAAAATTTAATTACGTTTTCGAATACTTCTATTCTCCTAAATATATAAATATGAATTTAGTTGGATGGAACATCTGCACTTAATTAGATGCAAATAATTTACAAACGCAAGTGACAGTTAACTCACCGACTAACAAACTATCCTCCTTCTTTCTATTACTGAGCATACCTAATAGTTGTATTTCTTTTTAACGTTTTTAACGTTCATTTTTAGACGCAAAATTTCTAAAAAGAAGAGGAAAAGAAAAATAGAAATCATCTTCCGAAATCACAGATATTCACTAAAACTCCATCAAACCTTAACCCGTTGCCTTACAATTTCTTTAGCTAATACTTTCCAACTTCAACTAATATAGTACGGGTTAAACCACTGGATGAACATATACTGATAACTAATTATGTAATAGTTATAATAAATTGTACTAAACTCATAGAGAACTCAAGTAACAATTATCGAATAGCTTACATCGTAAAAATATCAAATTTGACAGAGATATTGAGAACAGTAATAATCTACGAAGAGAATACAAAGAATGCAAGTCACTGGTCAATTAAAAATGTTAACAAACTGTAGTAATGATTAATAAAGAGCTCAGCTAACAAGTGGACAATTTACATCGCACGATGTTCAAACGCTGTTGTGAAGTTTGTAAAAAAATATGAGAGACGAAAGTCAGTGATTTGTCCGACCCCATATCACTTCAGATTAGAAAAAGAACACACGTTGTAATATACCACACGAATTCACGTTGCGTTTCAGGACACCAGGCCTTTCATCCCTTCCACTTCGGGCCCAGGCCGTTCCCTTTCGGCCACCCTCAGGATCCTCTGGGATTCAAGTTGTCCGGTAAGTGTCTGCCGATAGAACACTCCGTCCAGATCTGCTACCTGCCGGTATGGCACATAGTACAGCATCCACCTCGTAGCTCGTCTCCAGCTCCAACCGGATAACTAAGTTTACAACCCTGCATCATCCCCTTTGCCGATGTCGCGAAGGCAAGCTTGCTCCACTCAGTCTTGGCTTGCTTGGTGGCTACGAAGGGTGTCAAAATTGAGCGTCGGCAGGCGCCGACTCAAAATTGAGTTTTGCCACGGGGCGTCTAAGTGGAGAAGACTCTGATTAAGCCCCGGCCTTTCGTTTGTCGACGCCACTCTTCGCCGAAACTTTGCGCCCCGTTTGACGAGCGACTTCTCGCGCTACTGAAATTTCCGATCGTCTTCGAGGGAAACAGCCGCTAGGCCCATACTTTGACTTTCCTTGGCAGTTGGAGAGGAACGGAAGGAACATTCGGTGGTTTCATCGTCACGAGGATTCTCTAGGTTTAGATTCGTTTTGGTAAATTGTGGTGAAATTCGCCAGTGGCTATCAGCAAGCGACTAAAATTAATATTGGAACTATCAAACTTGATTTTCTAACGAATTACTAAAATCCATATATTTCCAGACCTCTGTCATCCTGGGCCTCCAAAAAATCGAATATGGTTAATCCCGGGTACCACAGGTCTTCGTTATTTTCAACACTAGAAGGTTCCATCTCTGAAGCATCCATTTTTGTCAATTTATCATCACACGAGCAACCGCATCACAGGCTTCTATCCCGATCTTTAAAAGATCGAATATGATTAACGTCTTGATACCACAAGTCTCTATTACCTCAAACACAAAAAGTTTCATCTCTGAAGCATCCATTTTTGTCGATTTATTACCACACGAGAAAGCCAGAGCGAGCGGCCGGTTGCAGCGGCGATTTCCGGTGGCGGCGCATTCGACGAGCTAGTTTGGCGGCGCGGATTCCAATTCAAATTCGTTCGAAGCTCGAAATTTTGATGGGACTAGCCTCGAGCAGCGAGGGTCGGCTACTGATACTGGTGCACCGACAGTGTATTGTTTCGGCATGATAAGCGGCTTAACGGAGCTTCTCTCCCCTGCCTGCCCCCGGGGGTAGTGCGGAGTAGCAGTCCTGCCGTCGATTTCTCGTCTCTGCGCTCCTATCCATCCCCTTCTCTCTCTCTTCCTCTCCCTCTCTTTCTCTCTATCCACCCTTTCCAACCCTCCCTTTTGTCCTACCACCCCCGTGGTCTACTCAATCAAGGACCGCGCCCCCGTCGACTTTCTCCTCTTCTTCTTTCCTTCAGATTTCCCATAGTAATTTCAGCTAACGAGGACGGACGCAACAATTTCCAGGTCGGCTGCATAAAATTGTTCCACGGTAATCGCTGAGCGGAAGTGTCGCACAGTCTCGTGTCGTAACGCGGCTATACAGCACGGCTAAATCGAATTACCGAGCTGCGCGATGGAAGTTCGCCGCGTTGGATATTTTGCGGAGAACGCCGGCTGTGGCAGGAAAATAGAAGAGGATAGGGTACGACGTGCAGGAACAACGACTTCGTCAGTTCTATTTTTGCCATTGTCGAACTTGCTTGCCCTAGGTAGAATCAACTTCGTTGGAATTACTCTTGATAAGGTTGGTCGTGCTCGTATTTAAGGTTTTATGATAGGATCGCTGTTCTCTGGTCTATCTTCGTACTTGTTTCAATATTCTTTTTATAAAAACACATTTGAGTATCGAAATGTACATGACGAACGCGAGGAACAGTTTCAACGACCACTTTACCACGTGTGCTGGTTTTAGCGTCGTCCTATGTTAAAGATATTCTCATCCGAAAATAGAGTATAGCTACGAGTCTTTGCATTTCTTTTGAAGTGGAGCTTCATAATCCACCATGTAGAAGTTTCACTTTTACCCAAAAGTTGTTCGCAGTAGTAATCTTCTACAGGAAAATTGTCATCATCTGAAAACACGATTATACGCGAGTGTTTTTATTCTTTTGCGACAAAACTCGACAACCAACTATGCGTGAAAAAAATTGTACTTTTGTCAAAAATCTCGTCACACTCGATATCCAGCTTCCAAAGTCTCGATCTTCCGCTTCTAGAAAAATATTTCTTCGATTTCTAACCAACAGAGTTTTCACCCTTGTACTTCAAGCACAACCCTTACGTACCACGAGGAAGAATGTTCGTTCGCTAGTTCCTTAACCACCCTTCCACGACAAATTCAATTCTCCTCCGAAGGAAACGCGCTGTCGCGTAACTGGGTCGCAGTCGCGACCGACATCACCCTCATATCGATCGGTTTATTCCAAGCTCGTGTCCACCACTTTTTCAACCCTTTCGCTGGTAGTTCGACGGTCAGCGCATAGGTTGCGCCTCTGTCCAGTTCGCCGCTGGGGTCAGTCGGACAAGCGTTTCAACTTTCGCCCATCCTTTGCAACACCAAAGGGGCTATAGCCTATCGTTGTTCGGATAAAGACGCGTTTCAAGAGCTGGTTTATTAGATATCCGCGTCCGGGGGTTGATAAGGAGAGGAAAGGGGAAAGAGAAGAAGCGAGAGACGGCTGGCTACACCGAGCCAGGGGTTGTTAAGGTGCCCATTGAGGTGTAACTAGGGGGATGTTATTAAATTTCGTTCGGGCCTAGCTCGAGGGGAGGCTCGAATTTTATGCTATCCCTGAGGACCATCGAAGTCCGGTACAGAGTCTGTCTTTATTCCATCCTTGAATTTTCTCTTCTTTTGTCCTGTTTCTTTGAAGGTGTTCAAGAAGCGACGTATACTATTGTTCGTCGGTATCTGGATACTTGTATAGCAACTGTGTTTGAATTTAACTCTCGCTTATAAGTATCAGAACGCTTATGAAGAGTGAGGTTAACTTTGGAAGTTACTAGAAAATTATCAAAAGCTTTGGGATTGTTATCTCGCTTTTTAATTGTTAAAAACTTTGAGAACTATTATCTAAATTAGTTTTAAACTGCTAGTAAATGATTAAAAGCTCGCAAAGTAATTATTACTTGCTTGAGATTATAGAATGTCAGACAAACGAAGAATTCATATATTGGATGTTGCGATCAAACCTCTTTTCTACCTTCATGCGTGCTAAGATCGAATTCTTTCTTTCATTTATATCCATTACATTCCTTGATTACTGCTCTTGGTTAACCGATCCTGTCATCCATACTGTCAATTTTTCTGTTGTATTTGTTGTTACCTGAGCCGAGATTCTAGTTTGATTTTTAAAAGAACTTCTCTGTGTTCCTCATCTAATTCGTTCAATATTTATTCAATGCGATTAGAGGATCGTGAAGATCAACGTACGATTGTTAAACTATCCATGTGCCTCTTATACTACTAGATTTTGCAGTATTAATCGTAATAAACAACTTTTTCAAATTTCTGGGCGGTTATCTTGTATAAATGCAAATGTTTGTTAATTCTTATTAATTCGGATGAATCATCATATCTCACATGTAACCAGGTGTCTGTATATTTATAAACGAGAGATATGTAACTGACTGTGTTTTTTAATTCTTCATTCGTCTTGGAATTGATTCCTCTTTCATGTAAGTATTAGCAGAAACTCGAAAAGTCTTTGTTCAAGGATTTATCAATTCGTCAGTTGAAGTTTCATCGTTGAAACTAACTTTCACGCAAGAAGAACGTACTTTAGAGGATTCTTAAAAAATAATCATCTTATTTCTAGCTAGTAATTATCTCTGATATTTTTCTTCGAAACTCTTTATCTTCAAAGATCATCGATTCGCGATCGGGTTGTTGCACAGCTGGACGATTGAATTTCAGAACGGGCAGCGACAGGATGGAGGAAACACGAGGAAAATTAATGTATTCGGTGAGTGGCAACACGCGAGAAGATCCTCGTTGAGATTGTCCGAAGAACGAAAACAGGCCGATCACGTGGCTCCCGGGAGGGCGTCTTTGTCAATCTAGCTAAGGGGATGAAAAATCGCGAGAGCAGCCAGGGATTCGAGTTAACAAGAACAGCTCGCGCAGCTCGATTCCCAACTCACCCCGAGTTCCGTTGTTCCACCTCTTTCCACCCTCCAGTGTCAATTAACCGCCTACCAGGGGTTGGGGGTTGCGCCGGAAAAATCGCAACCCCTGTTTCAATAAGGTGGCCTTTACCTCATTTGGGGGAGATTGTTAGGAGCGTTCAGTTTAAAACTGTCGCGCGCCTTCGTTTCACGGATCGTTTTACAGTAGATCTTCGCGAGCTTTCTTTAAAGAGGACCGCTCGTTTTCTTCTCTTTCCTTCATTTCCTCTCCCATGTAGTGCTTCTTTTGGAAATTCGATATGGTAAATTTTCTCGGAGAAATATCTAATCGATTGTAGAAAACAGAAGGCGGATCGTGTTTTAGATCTACGATCTGATTGTCAAGTTCGTTTTACAGGATTTTGCAGTACGAACTGATATAAATGACTCCGTAAATCACGAAACAAGAAGTTTAGCGTAGATATACGTAAACGAATGTTATAATATACAAGGAGCTTTGTTCATTTTGGGTTCATTAATATTTTAGTTACTTGTGCGTTTTGATACGAAGAATTGTAGAGAAATTTAGTCGGTCTAGAATTGCAGTTAATAATATTTTTTCTTCGAGATAATGTTCGAGACCATCGACAGTTTTTTCAAGTGAAAACATCGGCGAGCTCTTTTATTCGTTGTATTGTACATCGAAAATGATTATTTGGAATGATCCTTTTAACTTCAATCTTATAAAATTCACTGTGTGAACGTAAACTTAAATTTTGTCAATTTTACAATGAAACAAATTCCAACAAAATTTCACACACCTTTTCTACGTTGAATCTATAGAATATTATAGAATCGCTCATACAATATTCCATAGAATATCTTAATTAGTTTATTTAGTTCAGTTCCGAGTTTCCGAAGAAACCAACCCCTAATCGAAAGGCAGGGTGTCGATTTTCAGACGGAACCCGAGTCCTTCTTAAAGGATCCTTTCACGTCCACGGAGAAGCGAGTAACCCT